GACTTAACCCCCTACCGCAAACAATGCCATGCGTTAAAGACATAAGTCAAAACCCGAACAAAGTACATGGATCCTCTGTGAGAAAGAACGGTGTTTCAGGTGTATGAGATGAAGAATTCCCCCCCTACCGCAAACACTGCCATGCCTCAAAGACACAAGTCAAAACCCCACACGCCATAAAAAGGTCCAAACACTGGGTCTGCAAATACTGCGAGACCCGATTCAATGGGACAGCCTCAAACTTGAGAAACCACTTCCTGAAGAAATGCTACTTGGACCTCCTCACTCAACCTTTGACAGTTGAGGAAAGGGCGAGAAGGGCGGAGGGGATCCGCATGGGGAAGCACCTCACCGAAATCATTGAAAGGGGGGGGAAGAAATAGTACACCAACGAGCAACTTGCCATCTGCCAGCAGTCTGGTGGTTGGATCGATGGGTGCTGGCAGTCGAATGGTGGATGCAGGCGGAGCACCATCGCCGATGGTGACTTCTGGGGAGTCCGTCCCTGCAGCGCCCCRAACAGGTCAACCGATGAGGCAGATGCTCATCGAGAACACGGACAGCATCATTACTCGTATTGAGCACACGAGCCGCTTCCTCGACAACTTCCTCTTCTGCACAAACCAGCCCTTCAGTCTTGTTGACAACGAGTACTTCCTCGAGTTCATCGACGCAGTGAAGAAGGCGCATCCATCATGGTTGCCATACCACAGGGACAAGGCACAAACAAAGAGGCTTGACGGCGCGTTTGGAAGGACAACAGCAGAGGTGACTGCCATCATGGTTGCCATACCACAGGGATAGGGACTTTTTTGGAAATCGGCGTGCATGGAGGGGAAATACAAGAACGCAGCGGCGTATTTCAAGATCCTTGATGGAGTGATCAAGGAGATTGGGCCGAATGTGGTGGTTGGCATTGTCATGGACAACGCAAGAGTGTGGTGTGAAGGCGGGCAAGATAGTGGAGGCCGCTTACCCTCAGATTTTTCGTGTTGGCTGCACTGTGCATGCCRTCCRTTTGGCACTCGAGGACATGTACAAGCAGCTTAGTTGGCTGGCGGCAATCACTGATTCAGTGAATGTAGTTGGCAAATTTTTCACAAATGTGGACAAAGAGAGGGCCTTGTGCGACAAGTTTTCCCCAAATTTGAAATTGAAGCGGTCGGCGGCACCCGATTCGCCACAAGTCACGACATGTTAGCTTCGTTGAGGAGAGGGAGGAATGCATTGGAGAAGGGCGTCTGCGACACGGCGTGGGTGGATAAGATGGTGAGGGCAGACCAGCTTGCCTCTTTCCACGAGGTCACCTCAATCGTGCTGGGCAGGGACGGTTTTTGGGACGATGTTGACAAGGCCCTCGCAGTGATGTCTCCTGTTGTGGAGCTGTTGYGSCTKGTTAATGGGCCAAGTGCGACAATGTTGAAGGTCTAGATGGATGCGCTAGTCGAGAGAATGCGTGGCCTTGACTGTGTGACCCCGACTGAGAACGCAGACATTGAGGACATTCTAATGCATCAGTGGTCCTGCTTGACGAGCGAGCTGCACTGTGCGGCTGCCTTCCTTGACCCGGAGTTCCGACACAATGCACTGTCACAGCGGGGTGGGAGGTTCGTGCGGGGTTTAACATTTGGCTCCACTCGTGGGCGCCGAAAGACAAAGACGCCCTAAAAGAACTGAGCAGGCAAGTCGATAAGTGGACCAAACTCGAGGGGACATTCCGACCGCAAGAGGCAGCAGAGGCGGCGCACATGAAACCGACGGCGTTGTGGTGGGAAGCCTTCGGGGGGAAGTTGGAGCTTGCATATGCTCATTTTTGGAAGACGGTGCACGAAGGTTATGCCAGAGAGACTATCGAAGCTCGTGTTTAACAATTGGAACACCCAATTGATCTGGGGCTACACTCATGGCGGCAAGGAGGAGGTCCACATCCCTTGGGAGGATGACCGGCCAGTGGAGGCAGAGGTTGAGGAGTGGTACAATATGTASGTAGTTTCAGCGGTGTCCAACGATGGCATCGTAGCGGACATGCCTCATGACGTGGAGGTGGGAGGCGAGGATGGAGGGGAGCCACTTATGCGAACTTGGCAGTGCAATGACGAGTGGGATAAAGAAGAGTGCGAGGCGGAGGACACAACCCTCGTTGGGTCCCAAGAAAAGGATTGGCACGAGTGCACAAAGCCTGGCTGGCACTGGGAACGGGAGCTGCGGAGGAAATCTGGTCATTCGCAGCCATTGCCCTCGATGCTGTACACGGAGGAGGAGCGGGAACGGGTGTTGAAGGCAAGAGCGTCTAGGACGTGGATGCATGATGCGGGGAAC